AAGCCGAGCAAGCACAGCTCCTGTTCATTCCCACCATCATCATCATCTCTATCACCTGTATCACCACCACCATCTCTATCACCTGTATCACCACCACCATCTCTATCACCTGTATCACCTGTATCACCACCACCATCTCTATCACCTGTATCACCACCATCATCATCATCTCTATCACCTGTATCACCACCACCATCTCTATCACCTGTATCACCTGTATCACCACCACCATCATCATCTCTATCACCTGTATCACCACCACCATCTCTATCACCTGTATCACCACCATAATCATCATCTCTATCACCTGTATCACCACCACCATCTCTATCACCTGTATCACCTGTATCACCACCATAATCATCGTCTCTATCACCTGTATCACCACCACCATCTCTATCACCTGTATCACCACCATCTCTATCACCTGTATCACCTGTATCACCACCACCATCTCTATCACCTGTATCACCTGTATCACCACCATCATCATCATCATCTCTATCACCTGTATCACCACCACCATCTCTATCACCTGTATCACCTGTATCACCACCATAATCATCATCTCTATCACCTGTATCACCACCACCATCTCTATCACCTGTATCACCACCATAATCATCATCTCTATCACCTGTATCACCACCACCATCTCTATCACCTGTATCACCTGTATCACCACCATAATCATCATCTCTATCACCTGTATCACCACCACCATCTCTATCACCTGTATCACCACCACCATCTCTATCACCTGTATCACCACCACCATCTCTATCACCTGTATCACCTGTATCACCACCATCATCATCATCTCTATCACCTGTATCACCACCATCATCATCTCTATCACCTGTATCACCACCACCATCATCTCTATCACCTGTATCACCATCATCATCATCATCTCTATCACCTGTATCACCACCATCATCATCTCTATCACCTGTATCACCACCACCATCATCTCTATCACCTGTATCACCATCATCATCATCATCATCATCTCTATCACCTGTATCACCATCATCATCATCTCTATCACCTGTATCACCCCCTGTATCACCACCATCACCATCTGTAACTCACAAACACACCCACACACACCGACATATTGTATTTCATAGTCACATACAATCACACACACAATCACACACAATCACACACAATCACACACACACACACAATCTCATACAATCACACACACACAATCTCATACAATCACACACACACAAACACACAATCACACACACAATCACACACACAATCACACACACAATCACACACACACAAACACAATCTCACACAATCACACACTCACAATCACACACACACAATCACACACACACATACAAAGACACACAATCACACACACACACAATCACACACAAAATCACACACAATCACACACACAATCACACAATCGCACACACACACAATCACACACACACAATCCCACACACACAAAGGTTCCCCGCGTAGCCTGCAACAGACTGTTGGGGCAAGTGCCGTGAGCGAGCAGCACCTGCTAAGACTGCCGGCACCGTGGCGGTGGACGAGGGAGGGGGTTGGTGGACAGTGCCACGCCCGGCCGCCTTTGTCTCCCCCCCGCCAGTGGCGATGTTTAACACAAACCACAACACCGGATGATGATGGTTATTTGAGGCCGAGGCGACCTAGGGGTGCTGACACTTGGTGATAGCGGTGGTGGTGGCGGTGGTGATAGCGGTGGTGGTGGCGGTGATAGCGGTGGTGGTGGCGGTGATAGCGGTGGTGGTGACGGTGATGGCGGTGGTGGTGACGGTGATGACGGTGGTGGTGACGGTGATGGCGGTGGTGGTGACGGTGATGGCGGTGGTGGTGGCGGTGATGGCGGTGGTGGTGGCGGTGATAGCGGTGGTGGTGACGGTGATAGCGGTGGTGGTGGTGGTGATAGCGGTGGCGGTGATAGCGGTGGTGGTGACGGTGATAGCGGTGGTGGTGATGGTGATAGCCGTGGTGGTGACGGTGATAGCGGTGGTGGTGGCGGTGGTGGTGGCGGTGATAGCGGTGGTGGTGACGGTGATAGCGGTGGTGGTGATGGTGATATCCGTGGTAGTGACGGTGATAGCCGTGGTGGTGGTGACGGCGGTGGTGGTGGCGGTGGTGGTGACGGTGATAGCGGTGGTGGTGGCGGTGATAACGTATTTACACCCCAGCACGTACTTACACCCAGCACGTACTTACACCCCAGCACGTACTTACACCCAGCACGTATTACACCCCAACACGTACTTACACCCAGCACGTACTTACACCCCAGCACGTACTTACACCCAGCACGTACTTACACCCCAGCACGTACTTACACCCAGCACGTACTTACACCCAGCACGTATTACACCCCAGCACGTACTTACACCCCAGCACGTACTTACACCCAGCACGTACTTACACCCCAGCACGTACTTACACCCCAGCACGTACTTACACCCCAGCACGTACTTACACCCAGCACGTACTTACACCCCAGCACGTACTTACACCCAGCACGTACTTACACCCAGCACGTACTTACACTCCAGCACGACGCGCCATTAGTGTGCGTCTGTGTGCGTCTGTGTGTGTGCGTGCACGTGCGTGTGTGTGCATGCGTGTGTGCGTGTGTGCGTGTGTACGTGTGCGAACGCGTGCGTGTGTGCGTGCATGCGTCTGCGTGCGTCTGCGTGTGTGCGTGTGTGTGTGCGTGCGTGTGTGTGTGTGCGTCTGCGTGTGTGTGTGTGTGTGCGTGCGTGTGTGCGTGTGTGAGTGCCGTTCTCTCCTCAATCGACTTTCACGACGCCGTAGATCTTGGTGACGAACCAGAAGCAGGCAAAGAAGCCAATGGTGCCTGCACCACCACAACAACCACAACAACCACATTAACACAACCACCACAACACATTAACACAACAACCACAACAACCACACATTAACACAACCACAACAACCACATTAACACAACCACAACAACCACACATTAACACAACAACCACAACAACCACATTAACACAACCACCACAACACATTAACACAACAACCACAACAACCACACATTAACACAACAACCACATTAACACAACCACCACAACAACCACCACAACAACCACATTAACACAACCACCACAACACATTAACACAACCACCACAACACATTAACACAACAACCACAACAACCACACATTAACACAACAACCACATTAACACAACCACCACAACAACCACCACAACAACCACATTAACACAACCACCACAACAAACCACCACAACAACCAAACATTAACACAACCACCACAACACATTAACACAACCACAACAACCACACATTAACACAACCACCACAACCACACATTAACACGACCACCACAACAACCACACAGTAACACAACCACCACAACAACCACACATTAACACAACCACCACAACAAACCACCACAACAACCACACATTAACACAACCACCACAACACATTAACACAACAACCACAACAACCACACATTAACACGACCACCACAACCACACATTAACACAACCACCACAACAACCACACAGTAACACAACCACCACAACAACCACACATTAACACACCCACCACCACACAATAACACAACAACCATACATTAACACAACCACCACAACCACACATTAACACAACCACCACACATTAACACAACAACCACACATTAACACAACAACCACAACAACCACACATTAACAGAACCACCACAACACATTAACACAACAACCACAACAACCACACATTAACACAACCACCACAACCACACATTAACACGACCACCACAACAACCACACAGTAACACAACCACCACAACAACCACACATTAACACACCCACCACCACACATTAACACAACAACCACACATTAACACAACCACCACAACCACACATTAACACAACCACCACACATTAACACAACAACCACACATTAACACAACAACCACAACAACCACACATTAACACAACCACCACAACAACCACACATTAACACAACCACCACAACAACCACACATTAACACAACAACCACACATTAACACCTCTCTCTGTGTCTCTGTGTCTCTCTCTGTGTGTGTCTCTCTCTGTGTGTCTCTGTGTGTGTGTGTGTCTCTGTGTGTGTGTCTCACCGGTGAAGAGGAAGAAGATGAGCACCATGATGAGGGTGTACCCAAAGTAGAGGATGGTGCTGGCCTGCCAAACTCTCTCTCTGTGTGTGTGTCTCTGTGTGTGTCTCTCTGTGTGTGTGTCTCTCTGTGTGTGTGTATCTCTGTGTGTGTGTCTGTGTTTGTCTCTGTGTCTCTCTCTGTGTGTCTCACCGGTGAAGAGGAAGAAGATGAGCACCATGATGAGGGTGTAGCCAAAGTAGAGGATGGTGCTGGCCTGCCAAACTCTCTCTCTGTGTGTGTGTCTCTGTGTGTGTCTCTCTGTGTGTGTGTCTCTCTGTGTGTGTGTGTCTCTGTGTGTGTATCTCTGTGTGTGTCTGTGTGTGTGTGTCTCTGTGTGTGTGTGTGTCTCTGTGTGTGTGTCTCTGTGTGTGTGTCTGTGTGTGTCTCTGTGTGTGTCTCTGTGTGTGTGTGTCTCACCGGTGAAGAGGAAGAAGATGAGCACCATGATGAGGGTGTACCCAAAGTAGAGGATGGTGCTGGCCTGCCAAACTCTCTCTCTGTGTGTGTGTCTCTGTGTGTGTGTCTCTGTGTCTGTGTGTGTGTCTCTGTGTGTGTCTCTGTGTGTGTGTGTCTCTGTGTGTCTCACCGGTGAAGAGGAAGAAGATGAGCACCATGATGAGGGTGTAGCCAAAGTAGAGGATGGTGCTGGCCTGCCAAACTCTCTCTCTGTGTGTGTCTCTGTGTGTGTGTCTCTGTGTCTGTGTGTGTCTCTGTGTGTGTCTCTCTGTATGTGTGTGTCTGTATGTGTGTGTCTCTGTGTGTGTCTCTGTGTGTCTCTCTGTGTGTGTCTCTGTGTGTGTCTCTGTGTGTGTCTCTGTGTGTGTCTCTGTGTGTCTCACCGGTGAAGAGGAAGAAGATGAGCACCATGATGAGGGTGTAGCCAAAGTAGAGGATGGTGCTGGCCTGCCAAACTCTCTCTCTGTGTGTGTCTCTGTGTGTGTCTCTGTGTGTGTATCTCTGTGTGTGTGTGTCTGTGTTTGTCTCTGTGTCTCTCTCTGTGTGTCTCACCGGTGAAGAGGAAGAAGATGAGCACCATGATGAGGGTGTAGCCAAAGTAGAGGATGGTGCTGGCCTGCCAAACTCTCTCTCTGTGTGTGTCTCTGTGTGTGTGTGTCTCTGTGTCTGTGTGTGTGTGTCTCTGTGTGTGTCTCTGTGTGTGTCTCACCGGTGAAGAGGAAGAAGATGAGCACCATGATGAGGGTGTACCCAAAGTAGAGGATGGTGCTGGCCTGCCAAACTCTCTCTCTGTGTGTGTGTCTGTGTGTGTGTGTCTCTGTGTGTGTGTGTCTCTGTGTGTGTGTCTCACCGGTGAAGAGGAAGAAGATGAGCACCATGATGAGGGTGTACCCAAAGTAGAGGATGGTGCTGGCTATCCCCTCGATGGCCAGCTTGGTGATAAAGTAGTGCACCGCGTACGCCATCAGGTACACGGCCGTGAAGCCGCTGGTCAGGAACCCCCTCCACCACCAGTGGTAGTCCTGGCAACGCAAACACCGTAACCGCGGCGACGGTAACCGCGGTTACAGAGGCCACGGCGACACCGGCACCATCGCCGCCGCCGTGGCGACCGCCACGGCAACCACCACCGTCACCTCCAACACCGCGGCAACCACCGTCACCACGGCAACCACCACCATCACCTCTAACACCGCGGCAACCACCACCATCACCTCCAACACCACGGCAACCACCATCACCACGGCAACCACCATCACCACGGCAACCACCGTCACCACGGCAACCACCACCATCACCTTCAACACCACGGCAACCACCATCACCACGGCAACCACCACCATCACCACGGCAACCACCATCACCACGGCAACCACCATCACCACCGTCACCACGGCAACCACCACCATCACCTCCAACACCACGGCAACCACCGTCACCACGGCAACCACCGTCACCACGGCAACCACCACCATCACCTCCAACACCGCGGCAACCACCACCATCACCTCCAACACCACGGCAACCACCATCACCACGGCAACCACCGTCACCACGGCAACCACCATCACCTCCAACACCACGGCAACCACCATCACCACGGCAACCACCATCACCACGGCAACCACCATCACCACGGCAACCACCACCATCACCTCCAACACTGCGGCAACCACCACCATCACCTCCAACACCACGGCAACCACCGTCACCACGTCAACCACCACCATCACCTTCAACACCACGGCAACCACCATCACCACGGCAACAACCACCATCACCTTCAACACCACGCAACCACCATCACCACGGCAACCACCACCATCACCTCCAACACCACGGCAACCATCACCACGGCAACCACCATCACCACGGCAACCACCATCACCTCCAACACCACGGCAACCACCACCATCACCTCCATCACCACGGCAACCACCATCACCTCCAACACCACGGCAACCACTGTCACCACGGCAACCACTAACACCTCCAACACCACGGCAACCACGGTCACCACGGCAACCACCAACACCACGGCAACCACCATCACCTCCAACACAACGGCAACCACTGTCACCACGGCAACCACCAACACCTCCAACACCGCGGCAACCACGGTCACCACGGCAACCACCAACACCACGGCAACCACCAACACCTCCAACACCACGGCAACCACCATCACCACGGCAACCACCACCATCACCACCATCACCACGGAAACCACCATCACCACGGCAACCACCATCACCACCGTCACTACGGCAACCACCGTCACCTCCATCACCACGGCAACCACCGTCACCTCCAACACCACGACAACCACCATCACCACCAACACCACGACAACCACCATCACCACCATCACCACGGCAACCACCACCATCACCTCCAACACCATGGCAACCACCATCACCTCCAACACCACGGCAACCACCACCACCTCCAACACCATGGCAAACACCATCACCTCCATCACCACGGCAACCACCATCACCACGGCAACCACCAATACCTCCATCACCACGGCAACCACCATCACCACCATCACCACGGCAAACACCACCACCTCCAACACTGCGGCAACCACCGTAACCACGGCAACCACCACCATCACCTTCAACACCACGGCAACCACCATCACCATGGCAACCACCACCATCACCTCCAACACCACGGCAACAACTGTCTCCACGGCAACCACCACCATCACCACGGCAACCACCATCACCACCAACACCACGACAACCACCATCAACACCAACACCACGACAACCACCATCAACACCATCACCACGGCAACCACCATCACCACCATCACCACGGCAACCACCATCATCTCCAACACCGTGGCAACCACCGTCACCACGGCAACCACCACCATCACCTTCAACACCACGGCAACCACGATAACCACGGCAACCACCACCATCACCTCCAACACCACGGCAACAACTGTCACCACGGCAACCACCACCATCACCACGGCAACCACCATCACCACCGTCACCACGGCAACCACCATCACCATGGCAACCACCATCACCACCGTCACCACGGCAACCACCACCATCACCTCCAACACCACGGCAACCACCGTCACCATGGCAACCACCACGATCACCTTCAACACCACGGCAACAACCGTCACCACGGCAACCACCCCCATCACCACCATCACCACGGCAACCACCATCACCACAGCAACCACCATCACCACGGCAACAACCGTCACCACGGCAACCACCACCATCACCACGGCAACCACCATCACCACCGCCACCACGGCAACAACCGTCACCACGGCAACCACCACCATCACCTCCAACACCACGACAACCACCATCACCACCGTCACCACGGCAACCACCACCATCACCTCCAACACCATGGCAACCACCACCATCACCTCCAACACCACGACAACCACCATCACCACCGTCACCACGGCAACCACCACCATCACCTCCAACACCATGGCAACCACCACCATCACCTCCAACAACGCGGCAACCACCATCACCACCAACACCACGACAACCACCATCACCACCATCACCACGGCAACCACCACCATCACCTCCAACACCACGGCAACCACCACCACCTCCATCACCACGGCAACCACCATCACCTCCTTCACCACGGCAACCACCATCACCACGGCAACCACCAACACCTCCATCACCACGGCAACCACCATCACCACCATCACCACGGCAACCACCGTCACCTCCAACACCATGGCAACCACCGTCATCACGGCAACCACCACCACCAACACCATGGCAACCACCATCACCATGGCAACCACCATCACCTCCAACACCACGGCAACCACCATCACCTCCAACCCCACGGCAACCACCGTCACCACAGCAACCACCACCACCACATCCAACACCACGGCAACCACCGTCACCACCATCACCACGACAACCACCATCACCACGGCAACCACCATCACCACGGCAACCACCATCACCTCCAACACCACGGAAAACCACCGTCACCACCATCACAACGGCAACCACCATCACCACGGCAACCACCGTCACCTCCAACACCACGGCAACCACCATCACCTCCAACACCACGACAACCACTGTCACCACCATCACCACGGCAACCACCATCACCACGGCAACCACCATCACCTCCAATACCACGGCAACCACCGTCACCTCCATCACCGTGGCAACCACCATCACCTCCAACACCACGGCAACCACCCATTATGGAAACCACCACCGTCACCACAGCAAACACCACCACATACGGCGCACGCACACACAGTGTACACACACACAGTGTACACGCGCCCACACATAGTGTACATACACACAGTGTACACACACACACAGTGTACACACACACACACACAGTGTACACGCAGATACACACGTGCGCGCACACACGTGCGCGCACACACATGTGCACACACACACACACGTGCACACCCACACACATGTGCACACACATACACACACACGTGCACACACACACACACGTGCACACACACACGTGCACACACACACGTGCACACACACGCACACACGTGCACACACACACACACGTGCACACACACACACATACACACATGCACACCCACACACATGTGCACACACACACACTCACGGGGGGCCTCTGCTCACCTCCGCACACAGGTGGAAGTAGCACAGCAAGATGGTTGCCTCTGAGCAGGTGATGAGGAGGATGATGAAGACGAGGAACAGGAAACCGAACATATAGTACATCTGGTGGGACCTGCACACACACACACACACACGCACACACACACACACACGCACACACGCACACACGCACACACGCACACACGCACACACACACACACACACGCACACACACACGCACACACACACACACACACGCACACACACACACGCACGCATACACACACACACACACACGCACGCACGCACATGCACGCACATGCACGCACACGCACGCACACGCACGCACAAAACACGCACACGCGCACACGCACACACGTGCACACACACACGTACACACACACACGCACACACACACACGCACACAGACGTACACACACACGTACACACACACACACACGCACACACACACACGCACACAGACGTACACACACGTACACACACACACATACACACACACACGCACACACACACACGCACACACACGCACTTAGACACACACGCACACACACACACACGTACGCACACAAAGATCCCCCGTGTAGCCTCTAACAGGCTGTAGGGGCAAGTGCTCTTAGCGAGCAGCACCTGTGAAGGCTACTGGCACTGTGGCACACGTGGGGGTGGGTGGCCAGCACCACGCCCGGCCGCCTTTGTCTCTCCCCAGTGCTAGCGATGTTCACTACACACCGTTACACCAGGTACTCATTTGAGGCTGAGTCGACCTGTGTGTGTGTGTGGGTGCGTAACGCTGCTGCTGTGTGGAAGCTACCTGGTCTGTCGCTCCGCACTAAGCTTCAGGTCTTCTCGACCACGGTCATTCCCTCCCTTCTCTACGCTTGCGAAACGTGGACCCCCCTAATGGAACATCTTCGCCGGTTAGAAACCTTTAGGCTGGCCTGCCTACGATCCATCCTGGGTTTAACCAGACTGGATTGTGTTAGGAGCTCACAAATCCTTGAAAGATCTGGGCAGGGTCCCATCGGTGAGCTCCTCCGGCAGGCAAGGCTGCGATGGCTGGGTCATGTAGCCCGCATGCCCAGCCACCGCATGCCGAAACAGCTTTTGTTTGGCCGGATTGAGGGGGCTAAACGGGCGCGGCACGGGCTAGAGAAGAGATGGAGTGATGTGGTACAGGAGGACGTGGAGCTGAGTGGACTTGCCGATGACTGGTACCAGCGGTGTCAAGATCGGCCTCTGTGGAGGAGGCTCGTGAAGGATGCTACTGGGCAGTCGGAGGCAGTCGCCCTCCAACAACAACGGAGGGTGGAGGAGCGACGCTCACAACAACGAGCGGAGCGCCGGGTGGCTAAAGCACAGCAGGTTGGCACAGTAGGGGGCACAGGTGGTGCATGAGCCAGTCATCTCAGTCAGTCGACCCGTGGCACCTGGGTCTGCCCAGTGACCTCCTGCCAGCGGGCGTTCGACACTTCACGTGGCCTCAGGGTGCACATAGCCTGGCACAAGCGTCGTGGTGACGTCACCGCCACTTAGTGGTGAATGGCGGTTGTTGTTGTTGTCTGTGTGTGTATGTGTGTGTATGTGTATGTGTGTGTATGTGTGTGTATGTGTGTATGTATATGTGTGTGTGTATGTGTGTGTGTGTCACCAGATGCTGTTGAGGATGAAGAAGAGCTGGATGAAGATGCAGCCGAAGGGCAGCACGCCGCCCATCACCGTGTGTATGTGTATGTATGTGTGTATATGTGTGTGTGTGTGTGTCTGTGTATGTGTGTGTATGTGTGTATATGTGTGTGTGTGTAGGTCACCAGATGCTGTTGAGGATGAAGAAGAGCTGGATGAAGATGCAGCCGAAGGGCAGCACACCGCCCATCACCGTGCCCGGCAGGGGCCGCGTGTACAGAGACTGCACCGGGATCTGCCGAGGGATCTGATTGGTCCGCACCGGGTGCTCAATCGGCTGGGGGGGGGGGGTGTGGGAGTGGGGGGGGAGAAGGGTGAGGTCATGGTGAGTGAGTGAGTGGGTGAGTGAGTGGGTGAGTGAGTGGGTGAGTGTGTGAGTGTGTGAGTGGGTGAGTGGGTGAGTGTGTGAGTGTGTGAGTGAGTGAGTGTGTGAGTGAGTGTGTGAGTGAGTGGGTGAGTGTGTGAGTGAGTGAGTGTGTGAGTGAGTGTGTGAGTGAGTGGGTGAGTGTGTGAGTGGGTGAGTGAATGTGTGAGTGAGTGTGTGAGTGAGTGGGCGAGTGTGTGACTTAGTGTGTGAGTGGGTGGGTGAGTGAGTGAGTGAGTGTGAGTGAGTGGGTGAGTGGGTGAGTGGGTGTGTGAGTGAGTGTGTGAGTGAGTGGGTGAGTGAGTGACTGGGTGAGTGAGTGGGTGAGTGGGTGAGTGAGTGAGTGGGTTAGTGGTTGGTGAGTGAGTGGGTGAGTGAGTGGTTGGTGAGTGAGTGAGTGGTTGGTGAGTGAGTGAGTGAGTGGGTGAGTGAGTGGGTGAGTGAGTGACTGGGTGAGTGAGTGGGTGAGTGGGTGAGTGAGTGAGTGGGTTAGTGGTTGGTGAGTGAGTGAGTGAGTGGGTGAGTGAATGTGTGAGTGAGTGTGTGAGTGAGTGGGCGAGTGTGTGACTTAGTGTGTGAGTGGGTGGGTGAGTGAGTGAGTGTGAGTGAGTGGGTGAGTGGGTGAGTGGGTGTGTGAGTGAGTGTGTGAGTGAGTGGGTGAGTGAGTGACTGGGTGAGTGAGTGGGTGAGTGGGTGAGTGAGTGAGTGGGTTAGTGGTTGGTGAGTGAGTGGGTGAGTGAGTGGTTGGTGAGTGAGTGAGTGAGTGGTTGGTGAGTGAGTGAGTGGGTGAGTGAGTGAGTGGGTGAGTGAGTGACTGGGTGAGTGAGTGGGTGAGTGGGTGAGTGAGTGAGTGGGTTAGTGGTTGGTGAGTGAGTGAGTGGGTGAGTGAGTGGTTGGTGAGTGGGTGAGTGGGTGAGTGAGAAGTGAGTGAGTGGGTGAGTGAGCATGTGGGTGGGTGAATTTGTGAGCGAGTGAGTGACTTGATTTGTGAGCGAGTGGTTGCGTGAGTGGGTGAGTATGAAAGCGAGCGAGCGGGTGAGTATGCGAGCGGGTGAGCGAGTGAGCGGGTGAGTATGCGAGCGGGTGAGCGAGCGGGTGAGCAAGCGGGTGAGCGAGCGGGTGAGCGAGCGAGCGGGTGAGTATGCGAGCGGGTGAGCGAGCGGGTGAGCGAGCGGGTGAGCGAGCGGGTGAGCGAGCGGGTGAGCGAGCGGGCGAGTGAGCGGGTGAGCGAGCGGGTGAGCGAGCGAGCGGGTGAGTATGTGAGCGGGTGAGTATGCGAGCGGGTGAGCGAGCGGGTGAGCGAGCGGGTGAGCGAGCGGGTGAGCGAGCAGGTGAGCGAGCGGGTGAGTATGCGAGCGGGTGAGTATGCGAGCGGGTGAGCGAGCAGGTGAGCGAGCGGGTGAGTATGCGAGCGGGTGAGTATGCGAGCGGGTGAGCGAGCGAGCGGGTGAGCGAGCGGGTAAGCGAGCGAGCCTGCCCTCACCCTCCTGCGGAAGCCGAAGTATGCCCCGAGGAAAGTGAGCGGCACAGAGACGCAGAACCACAGGGCCAGGACAGCAACAAGGGTGCCGAAGGGCACGGCGGCAGACGAGCGCTCGGCCCACAGGATGAGGTTCATCATGAAGAAGTCGGCAAACACCAGCCTGGCACAGGGACACGGTGAGACGCGGTGAGACACACGCAGGGTGAGTGAGACACGGTGAGACACGGTGAGACGCGGTGAGACACACGCAGGGTGAGACACGGTGAGACACGGAGAGTGAGACACGGTGAGACACGGAGAGTGAGACACGGGGTGGGAGACACAGACGAGCGCTCGGCCCACAGGATGAGGTTCATCATGAAGAAGTCGGCAAACACCAGCCTGGCACAGGGACACGGTGAGACGCGGTGAGACGCGGTGAGACACGGTGAGACACACGCAGGGTGAGACACACGCAGGGTGAGACACGGTGAGACACGGTGAGACACGGTGAGACACGGAGAGTGAGACACGGGGTGGGAGACACAGACGAGCGCTCGGCCCACAGGATGAGGTTCATCATGAAGAAGTCGGCAAACACCAGCCTGGCACAGGGACACGGTGAGACGCGGTGAGACACACGCAGGGTGAGACGTGGTGAGACACGGTGAGACACGGTGAGACACGGTGAGACACGGTGAGACACGGTGAGACACGGAGAGTGAGACACGGGGGAGACACAGACGAGCGCTCGGCCCACAGGATGAGGTTCATCATGAAGAAGTCGGCAAACACCAGCCTGGCACAGGGACACGGTGAGACGCGGTGAGACACACGCAGGGTGAGTGAGACACGGTGAGACGCGGTGAGACACACGCAGGGTGAGACACACGCAGGGTGAGACACACGCAGGGTGAGACACACGCAGGGTGAGACACGGAGAGTGAGACATGGTGAGTGAGACACGGTGAGACACGGAGAGTGAGACGCGGGGGAGACACGGAGAGTGAGACACGGGGTGGGAGACACAGACATGGAGAGTGAGACACGGGGTGGGAGACACAGACGAGCGCTCGGCCCACAGGATGAGGTTCATCATGAAGAAGTCGGCAAACACCAGCCTGGCACAGGGACACGGTGAGACGCGGTGAGACGCGGGGTGAGACACACGCAGGGTGAGACACACGCAGGGTGAGACACGGAGAGTGAGACATGGTGAGTGAGACACGGTGAGACACGGAGAGTGAGACATGGTGAGTGAGACACGGTGAGACACGGAGAGTGAGACACGGAGAGACACGGAGAGTGAGACACGGTGAGACACGGTGAGACACGGTGAGACACGGAGAGTGAGACATGGTGAGACACGGAGAGTGAGACACGGTGAGACACGGTGAGACACGGTGAGACACGGAGAGTGAGACATGGTGAGACACGGAGAGTGAGACACGGTGAGACACGGTGAGACACGGAGAGTGAGACATGGTGAGACACGGAGAGTGAGACACGGTGAGACACAGACATGGAGAGTGAGACACGGGGTGGGAGACACAGACGAGCGGTCGGCCCACAGGATGAGGTTCATCATGAAGAAGTCGGCAAACACCAGCCTGGCACAGGGACACGGTGAGACGCGGTGACACGCAGGGTGAGACGCGGTGAGACACACGCAGGGTGAGACACGGTGAGACATGGTGAGACACGGAGAGTGAGACGCGGTGAGACACGGTGAGACATGGTGAGACATGGTGAGACATGGAGAGTGAGACACGGAGGGTGAGACACGGTGAGACGCAGTGAGACGCGGTGAGACACGGAGAGACACGCAGGGTGAGACACGGTGAGACACGGTGAGTGAGACACGGTGAGACATGGAGAGTGAGACACGGAGAGACACGGTGAGACATGGTGAGACATGGAGAGTGAGACGCGGTGAGACATGGAGAGTGAGACACGGGGTGGGAGACACGGGGGAGACACAGACATGGAGAGTGAGACACAGGGGAGACACGGGGTGGGAGACACAGACACGGAGAGTGAGACACAGGGAGACACAGACACAGAGAGTGAGACATGGCAGAGACACAGGGAGACACAGACATGGAGAGTGAGACACGGGGTGGGAGACACAGACAAGGAGAGTGAGACACGGGGAGACACAGACACGGAGAGAGTGAGACACAGGGAGACACAGACATGGAGAGTGAGACATGGGAGAGACACGGGGAGACACGGACATGGAGAGTGAGACACAGGGGAGACACAGGGAGACAGAGACACGGAGAGTGAGACACGGGAGAGACACAGGGAGACACAGACATGGTGAGTGAGACACGGGGGAGACACAGGGAGACACAGACATGGAGAGTGAGACACGGGAGAGACACGGGGTGGGAGACACGGACATGGAGAGTGAGACACGGGGTGGGAGACACAGACATGGAGAGTGAGACACGGGGGAGACACAGGGAGACACAGACATGGGGAGTGAGACAGGGGCTGGGAGACACAGACATGGAGAGTGAGACACGGGGGAGACACAGGGAGACGCAGACAAGGAGAGTGAGACACGGGGGAGACACAGGGAGACACAGACATGGAGAGAGAGACACGGGGAGACACAGGGAGACACAGGCATGGAGAGTGAGACACGGGAGAGACACAGGGAGACACAGCCATGGAGAGTGAGACACGAAAGAGAGACACAGGGAGAGTGAGACACGGGGGAGACACAGACATGGAGAGTGAGACACAGGGAGACACAGGGAGACACAGCCATGGAGAGTGAGACACAGGGAGACACAGGGAGACACAGACATGGAGAGTGAGACACGGGGGAGACACGGGGGAGACAGAGACAAGGGGAGTGAGACAAGGGAGAGACACAGGAGAGACACAGACAAGGAGAGTGAGACACGGGGGAGACACAGGGAGACGCAGACAAGGAGAGTGAGACACGGGGGAGACAGACATGGAGAGTGAGACACGGGAGAGACACGGGGGAGACACGGGGGAGACAGACATGGAGAGTGAGACACGGGAGAGACACAGGGAGACACAGACATGGAGAGTGAGACACGGGGTGGGAGACACAGACATGGAGAGTGAGACACGGGAGAGACAGAGACATGGAGAGTGAGACACGGGAGAGACAGAGACATGGAGAGTGAGACACAGGGAGACACAGACATGGAGAGTGAGACACGGGGGAGACAGACATGGGGAGTGAGACACAGGGAGACACGGGGGAGACACAGACATGGAGAGTGAGACACGGGGTGGGAGACACAGACATGGAGAGTGAGACACAGGGAGACACGGGGGAGACACAGACATGGAGAGTGAGACACAGGGAGACACTGGGTGGGAGACACATACATGGAGAGTGAGACACGGGGGAGACACAGGGAGACACAGACATGGAGAGAGAGACACGGGGAGACACAGGGAGACACAGGGAGACACAGGGAGACAGACACAAGGAGAGTGAGACACAGGGAGACACGGGGTGGGAGATACAGACATGGAGAGTGAGACATGTGAGAGACATAGGGAGACACAGACATGGAGAGTGAGACACGGGGAGACAGAGACACGGAGAGTAAGACACGGGGGAGACACAGGGAGACACAGACATGGAGAGAGAGACACTGGGAGACACAGACATGGAGAGTGCGAGTGAGTGAGTGTGTGAGTGAGTGTGCGAGTGAGTGTGTGTATGAGTGAGTGAGTGAGTGTGTGAGTGTGCGAGTGAGTGAGTGTGTGAGTGTGCGAGTGAGTGAGTGTGTGAGTGAGTGTGCGAGTGAGTGAGTGTGTGAGTGTGCGAGTGAGTGGGCGAGTGAGTGAGTTTGCGAGTGGTTTGCGAGTGAGTGTGTGAGCGAGTGTGTGAGTGAATGTGCGAGTGTGTAAGTGAGTGAATGTGTGTGTGAGTGTATGTGTGAGTGAGTGTGTGAGTGAGTGTGTGAGTGTGTGAGAGTGCGTGTGAGTGTGTGTGAGTGAGTGTGAGTGAGTGTGTGAGAGTGTGTGTGAGTGAGTGTGAGTGAGTGTGTGTGAGTGTGTGAGTGAGTGTGAGTGAGTGTGAGAGTGAGTGTGAGAGTGAGTGTGTGAGTGAGTGTGTGAGAGTGTGTGTGAGTGAGTGTGAGTGAGTGTGTGAGAGTGTGTGTGAGTGTGAGTGAGTGTGTGTGAGTGAGTGTGAGAGTGTGTGTGAGTGAGTGTGTGTGAGTGAGTGTGTGTGAGTGAGTGAGAGTGAGTGTGAGTGAGTGTGTGAGAGTGTGTGTGAGTGAGTGTGAGTGAGTGTGTGAGAGTGTGTGTGAGTGAGTGTGTGAGTGTGTGAGAGTGCGTGTGAGTGTGTGTGAGTGTGAGTGAGTGTGTGAGAGTGTGTGAGTGAGTGTGTGAGTGTGTGAGTGTGTGAGAGTGCGTGTGAGTGTGTGTGAGTGTGAGTGAGTGTGTGAGAGTGTGTGTGAGTGAGTGTGTGAGTGTGTGTGAGTGTGTGAGAGTGTGTGTGAGTGAGTGTGAGTGAGTGTGAGTGAGTGTGAGTGTGTGTGAGTGAGTGTGAGAGTGTGTGTGAGTGAGTGTGTGTGAGTGAGTGTGTGTGAGTGAGTGAGAGTGAGTGAGTGTGTGAGTGAGTGAGTGTGTGAGTGAGTGTGTGAGTGAGTGTGTGAGTGAGTGTGTGAGTGAGTGTGTGAGTGTGTGAGTGAGTGTGTGAGTGAGTGTGTGAGTGAGTGTGTGAGTGTGTGTGTGAGTGTGTGAGTGAGTGTGTGAGTGAGTGAGTGTGTGAGTGAGTGTGTGAGTGAGTGTGTGAGTGAGTGAGTGAGTGTGTGAGTGTGTGAGTGAGTGTGTGAGTGTGTGAGTGAGTGTGTGAGTGAGTGTGTGAGTGAGTGTGTGAGTGAGTGAGTGAGCGAGTGAGTGAGTGTGTGAGTGTGTGAGTGAGTGTGTGAGTGAGTGTGTGAGTGAGTGAGTGAGTGTGTGAGTGTGTGAGTGAGTGTGTGAGTGAGTGTGTGAGTGTGTGAGTGAGTGTGTGAGTGAGTGTGTGAGTGAGTGTGTGAGTGAGTGTGTGAGTGAGTGAGTGTGAGGGTGAGTGAGTGTGTGAGTGAGTGAGTGTGAGGGTGAGTGAGTGTGTGAGTGTGTGAGCGAGTGTGTGAGTGTGTGAGTGAGTGAGTGTGTGAGTGAGTGTGTGAGTGAGTGAGTGTGTGAGTGAGTGTGTGAGTGAGTGAGAGTGAGTGAGTGTGTGAGTGAGTGAGTGAGTGTGTGAGAGTGAGTGAGTGAGAGTGAGTGAGAGTGAGTGAGTGTGAGTGTGTGAGTGAGAGTGAGTGAGTGTGTGAGTGAGTGTGTGAGTGAGTGTGTGAGTGTGTGTGTGAGTGAGTGTGTGAGTGTGTGAGTGAGTGTGTGAGTGAGTGTGTGAGTGAGTGTGTGAGTGAGTGTGTGAGTGAGTGTGTGAGTGTGTGTGTGAGTGTGTGAGTGAGTGTGTGAGTGAGTGTGTGAGTGAGTGAGTGAGTGTGTGAGTGTGTGAGTGAGTGTGTGAGTGAGTGTGTGAGTGAGTGAGTGTGTGAGTGTGTGAGTGAGTGAGTGTGTGAGTGAGTGTGTGAGTGTGTGAGTGAGTGTGTGAGTGAGTGTGTGAGTGAGTGTGTGAGTGAGTGAGTGAGCGAGCGAGTGAGTGTGTGAGTGAGTGTGTGAGTGAGTGTGTGAGTGAGTGAGTGTGTGAGTGTGTGAGTGAGTGTGTGAGTGAGTGTGTGAGTGAGTGTGTGAGTGAGTGTGAGGGTGAGTGAGTGTGTGAGTGTGTGAGTGAGTGTGTGAGTGAGTGAGTGTGTGAGCGAGTGTGTGAGTGTGTGAGTGAGTGAGTGTGTGAGTGAGTGTGTGAGTGAGTGTGTGAGTGAGTGTGTGAGTGAGTGTGTGAGTGAGTGTGTGAGTGAGTGTGTGAGTGAGTGTGTGAGTGTGTGAGTGAGTGTGTGAGTGAGTGTGTGAGTGAGTGTGTGTGAGTGAGTGTGTGAGTGAGTGTGTGAGTGTGTGTGTGAGTGAGAGTGAGTGTGTGTGAGTGAGTGTGTGTGTGAGTGAGTGAGCGAGTGACAGGAGATGGGAGTCAAACCCAGGCCACAGGAAGGCTGTGAGGATCACATTCGTCTTCCACTTCTCTCCTCCAAATGCTGCACACACACACACAGACACACACACACAGTCACACAGACACACACACACAGTCACACACACACAGACACACACACAAAGACACACACACACACAACAACAATAACAACAACCGCCATTCGCCACTAAGTGGCGGTGACGTCACCACGACGCTTGTGCCAGGCTAGGTGCACCCTGAGGCCACGTGAAGTGTCGAACGCCCGCTGGCAGGAGGTCACGGGGCAGACCCAGGTGCCACGGGTCGACTGACTGAGATGACTGAGATGACTGGCTGATGCACCACCTGTGCCCCCTACTGTGCCAACCTGCTGTGCTTTAGCCACCCGGCGCTCCGCTCGTTGTTGTGAGCGTCGCCCCTCCGCCCTCCGTTGTTGTTGGAGGGCGACTGCCTCCAACTGCCCAGTAGCATCCTTCACGAGCCTCCTCCATAGAGGCCGATCTTGACACCGCTGGTACCAGTCATCGGCAAGTCCACTCAGCTCCACGTCCTCCTGTACCACATCACTCCATCTCTTCTCTAGCCCGTGCCGCGCCCATTTAGCCCCCTCGATCCGGCCGAATAAAAGCTGTTTCGGCGTGCGGAGGCTGGGCATGCGGGCTACATGGCCCAGCCAACGCAGCCTTGCCTGCCGGAGGAGCTCACCGATGGGACCTTGCCCAGATCTTTCAAGGATTTGTGAGCTCCTCACACAATCCAGCCTGGTTAAACCCAGGATGGATCGTAGGCAGGCCAGCCTAAATGTTTCTAACCGGCGAAGATGTTCCATTAGGGGGGTCCACGTTTCGCAAGCGTAGAGAAGGGAGGGAATGATCGTGGCTGAGAAGACCTGAAGCCTAGTGCGGAGCGACAGACCAGGTAGCTTCCACACAGCGTTACGCAACCGATAAAAAGATAATCCCGCTCGACTGATTCGGAGTGAGACCTCTGCTGTTAAACTGGAGCCGGTCATAAGCACACTACCCAGGTATGGGAAACTCTCCACTCTCTCCACAACTGCCCTATCACCGATTGGGAGTTGTGGGGGTGGAGTGTCCGATGGTACAAAATACCCAGGCAGGTGCTTAGTTTTGGTGGGGCTCATGGTAAGGCCCCACCTCTTAGTGGCACGCTCCAGTCTCAGCAGCAGCGTCTCCAACTCCTCCTCTGAATGAGCAGCTATTACCAAATCATCGGCATACATAACATGGTTGAGCAATAGGGAGCCATCCCTTGACCGCACCCGGGCATCGATCAGCCTCCATTATATCTGTACCATATGGAGATTCCCCCGGTACAGCTATTGAAGGCTTCACGAACTACGTGGTCAAAATAGATGTTAAATAATGTGGGAGCCAGAGGACATCCCTGTCGCACCCCAAGGTGTACAGGGAATGGCTCTGACTTCCGGCCGCGTAGTTTTACCCGGGCCCGCTCACCATCATGAAGGTCCTTAATGATCATGAGCAGAGGGTCAGGTACTCCAAAAGCATGAAGAACAACCCAGAGCCCAGGCCTACTGATGGTATCATAGGCCTTGACCAGGTCAATAAAGCAGAGATGTAGGTCTTGTTGGAATTCCCTACACCTCTGCTGTAGCAGACGGACAGAGAATATGGCATCTGTGCAGGACCGCCCTTTCCTGAAACCGCATTGGGGCTCCGCAAGCCTCTCCTCAGCGTGCCTGGCAAGGCGATGTTGAATAATCCTTGCCAGGACACAGACACACACACAGTCACCCACACACATAGTCACACACAGACACACACACACAGACAGACACGCACACAGACACGCACACAGACACGCACACAGACACGCACACAGACACACACACACAGACACACACACACAGACAGACACACACACACAGACAGACACACACACACAGACAGACACACACACACAGACAGACACACACACACACACAGCCACACACACACAGCCACACACACACAGCCACACACACACAGCCACACACAGACACACACACACAGCCACACACACACAGCCACACACACACAGACACACAGCCACACACACACAGCCACACACAGACACACACAGACACACACACACACACAGACACACACAGAGACACACACACACAGACACACAAAAAACAAAGACAAAGATCCCCCATATAGCCTGTAACAGACTGTAGGGGCAAGTGCTGTTAGCGAGCACCTATGAAGGCCGGAACGGTACACGAGGGGGTGGGTGGCCAGCACCACGCCCGACCGCCTTTGTCTCCCTAGTGGCGATGTTTACACACCGCACCAGGTACTCATTTGAGGCTGAGTCGACCTAGGGGAGGCCCGGGACCGGTTCAGATAATCGTCACTGGTGTTGGCCGTGAGCGGGAATCGAACCCGGGTCGCCAGGTTCATAGCGCAGCGCGCTAACCGCTACACTATCGCGTACGTGAGTGAGTGAGTACGTGAGTGAGTGAGTACGTGAGTGAGTACGTGAGTGAATACGTGAGTGAGTGAGTACGTGAGTGAGTGAGTATGCGAGTGAGTAAGTGAGCGAGTACGTGAGTGAGTGAGTACATGAGTGAGTGAGTGAGTACGTGAGTAAGTGAGTGAGTGAGTAAGTAAGTGAGTGAGTACATGAGTAAGTGAGTGAGTACGTGAGTGAGTGAGTACGTGGTGAGTGAGTGAATGAGTAATTGAGTGAGTACGTGAGTGAGTACGTGAGTGAGTGAGTACATGAGTGAGTGAGTGAGTACGTGAGTGAGTACGTGAGTATGTGAGTGAGTATGTGAGTGAGTATGTGAGTGAGTACGTGAGTGAGTACTTGAGTGAGTGAGTGAGTACATGAGTGACTAAGTACATGAGTGAGTACGCAGGTACGTGAGTGAGTGAGTGGGTGAGTGAGTACGTGAGTACGTGAGTGAGTACGTGAGTAAGTGAGTGAGTACATGAGTGAGTGAGTAAGTGAGTACGTGAGTGAGTACATAGTGAGTACTAAGTGAGTACTAAGTACTAAGTGAGTACTAAGTGAGTACATAGTGAGTACATAGTGAGTACTAAGTGAGTACTAAGTGAGTACATAGTGAGTACATAGTGAGTACTAAGTGAGTACATAGTGAGTACATAGTGAGTACACAGTGAGTACTAAGTGAGTACATAGTGAGTACATAGTGAGTACATAGTGAGTACTAAGTGAGTACTAAGTGAGTACTAAGTGAGTACATAGTGAGTACTAAGTGAGTACATAGTGAGTACATAGTGAGTACATAGTGAGTACTAAGTGAGTACTAAGTGAGTACATAGTGAGTACATAGTGAGTACTAAGTGAGTACTAAGTGAGTACATAGTGAGTACATAGTGAGTACATAGTGAGTACTACGTGAGTACATAGTGAGTACATAGTGAGTACTAAGTACATAGTGAGTACATAGTGAGTACATAGTGAGTACATAGTGAGTACTAAGTGAGTACATAGTGAGTACATAGTGAGTACACAGTGAGTACATAGTGAGTACATAGTGAGTACATAGTGAGTACATAGTGAGTACTAAGTGAGTACATAGTGAGTACATAGTGAGTACTAAGTGAGTACTAAGTGAGTACACAGTGAGAACTAAGTGAGTACATAGTGAGTACATAGTGAGTACATAGTGAGTACATAGTGAGTACTAAGTACTAAGTGAGTACATAGTGAGTACATAGTGAGTACTAAGTGAGTACTAAGTGAGTACATAGTGAGTACTAAGTGAGTACATAGTGAGTACATAGTGAGTACATAGTGAGTACTAAGTGAGTACTAAGTGAATACATAGTGAGTACTAAGTGAGTACATAGTGAGTACATAGTGAGTACACAGTGAGTACTAAGTGAGTACATAGTGAGTACATAGTGAGTACATAGTGAGTACTAAGTGAGTACTAAGTGAGTACTAAGTGAGTACATAGTGAGTACTAAGTGAGTACATAGTGAGTACATAGTGAGTACACAGTGAGTACTAAGTGAGTACATAGTGAGTACTAAGTGAGTACTAAGTGAGTACTAAGTAAGTACTAAGTGAGTACATAGTGAGCACATAGTGAGTACTAAGTGAGTACATAGTGAGTACATAGTGAGTACATAGTGAGTACTAAGTACTAAGTGAGTACATAGTGAGTACATAGTGAGTACTAAGTACTAAGTGAGTACATAGTGAGTACTAAGTGAGTACACAGTGAGTACTAAGTGAGTACTAAGTGAGTACATAGTGAGTACTAAGTACTAAGTGAGTACTAAGTGAGTACTAAGTGAGTACTAAGTACTAAGTGAGTACATAGTGAGTACTAAGTGAGTACTAAGTGAGTATATAGTGAGTACACAGTGAGTACTAAGTGAGTACTAAGTACTAAGTGAGTACTAAGTGAGTACTAAGTACTAAGTGAGTACTAAGTGAGTACTAAGTACTAAGTACGTACTCTTGTACATGCGTGCTGAGACGTATCCGGCCGGAGTCCCGAGCAGCACCCACAGGACAACGGCACAGGTCATGAGGGCACCACGGTTAGCCGGGGACAGGAAGCCCAGACACGCAAAGACTGTGGAGACACACAGGGACACACAGACACACACGGTGAGACACGGCGACACACAGACACACGTGGTGAGACACAGACACACACAGACACACACGGTGAGACACAGACACACACGGTTAGCCGGGGACAGGAAGCCCAGACACGCAAAGACTGTGGAGACACAGACACACACAGACACAGACACACACAGAGACACAGACACACACGGTTAGCCGGGGACAGGAAGCCCAGACACGCAAAGACTGTGGTGAGACAGACACACACACAGACACACACAGTGAGACACACGGTTAGCCGGGGACAGGAAGCCCAGACACGCAAAGACTACGGGGAGACACACGGTGAGACACACACACACACACACAGACACACACAGTGAGACACACAGTGAGACACACAGTGAGACACAGACACACACGTGGTGAGACACACGGTGAGACACAGACACACACGGTTAGCCGGGGACAGGAAGCCCAGACACGTAAAGACTGCGGGGACACAGACACACAGACACACAGTGAGACACGGTGAGACACAGACACACGGGGACACACGGTGAGACACAGACACACACGTGGTGAGACACACACGGTGAGACACACGGTGAGACGCACAGACACACAGACACACACGGTGAGACACAGACACACACGGTGAGACACAGACACACACGGTTAGCCGGGGACAGGAAGCCCAGACACGCAAAGACTGCGGTGAGACACAGACACGCGCGGTGAGACACACGTGGTGAGACACACGTGGTGAGACACGGTGAAATACAGACACACACGGTGAGACACACGGTGAGACACACGCGCGGGGACATGTGTGTACACTGTGTGTGTGTACACTGTGTGTGTGTACTGTGTGTGTGTACACTGTGTGTGTGTGTACACTGTGTGTGTACTGTGTGTGTGTACTGTGTGTGTGTACACTGTGTGTGTGTGTACACTGTGTGTGTGTACACTGTGTGTGTGTGTACACTGTGTGTGTGTGTACGTACACAGGGTAATGAATGTCATGATGAAGATCTGAGTTCCTGACCCCAGACACACAGACAGCAACATGCCCTTCCTGTGTGTGTGTGTACACTGTGTGTGTACACTGTGTGTGTGTACACTGTGTGTGTGTGTACACTGTGTGTGTGTACACTGTGTGTGTGTGTACACTGTGTGTGTGTGTACACTGTGCGTGTGTGTACACTGTGTGTGCATGTGTACGTACACAGGGTAATGAATGTCATGATGAAGATCTGAGTTCCTGACCCCAGACACACAGACAGCAACATGCCCTTCCTGTGTGTGTGTGTACACTGTGTGTGTGTGTACACTGTGTGTGTGTGTACACTGTGTGTGTACGTACACAGGGTAATGAATGTCATGATGAAGATCTGAGTTCCTGACCCCAGACACACAGACAGCAACATGCCCTTCCTGTGTGTGTGTGTACACTGTGTGTGTGTACACTGTGTGTGTACACTGTGTGTGTACACTGTGTGTGTGTGTACACTGTGTGTGTGTGTACACTGTGTGTGTGTACACTGTGTGTGTGTGTACACTGTGTGTGTGTGTACACTGTGTGTGTGTGTACACTGTGTGTGTGTACACTGTGTGTGTGTACACTGTGTGTGTACGTACACAGGGTAATGAATGTCATTATGAAGATCTGAGTTCCTGACCCCAGACACACAGACAGCAACATGCCCTTCCTGTGTGTGTGTACACTGTGTGTGTGTGTACACTGTGTGTGTACACTGTGTGTGTGTGTGTACGTACACAGGGTAATGAATGTCATGATGAAGATCTGAGTTCCTGACCCCAGACACACAGACAGCAACATGCCCTTCCTGGGTGTGTGTGTACACTGTGTGTGTACACTGTGTGTGTGTGTACACTGTGTGTACGTACACAGGGTAATGAATGTCATGATGAAGATCTGAGTTCCTGACCCCAGACACACAGACAGCAACATGCCCTTCCTGGGTGGGCGGAAGACGTCCCCGTGAACAAGCTTCCAGCCAAACTCCTCCTGTGCCTCGTCCTGCACACAGACAAAGGTTTCTCACCGACGGTATAGCCTCACACAGACTGCCAGGGCAAGTGCTCTCACGTGGTGAGCAGCAGCAGAAGCAGCAGCTCGAATCGAATATTTTTTATTTGACGCTTTTATTGAACTCGCTCTGTCTATCCTCAAATCTTGTAAATCAATTTTAAGCCACTTTCCAATGCGGCATCGACTGAAAACTTGCTATACTTACGGCATACTGATGACAATACCATATTCTATCATTAAAAATAAACAGTACACTCACTCAGTGAAGGTGGTGATGGTGGTAATGATGATGGTGGTAATGATGATGGTGGTGATGCTGATGATGGTGGTGGTAACGTGGTGGTAATGGTATTGGTGACGGTGGTGATGGTGGTGGCCATGATGGAGGTGGGTGGTGATGGTGGTGATGGTGGTAATGATGGTTGTGATGGCAGTGGTGATGGTCGTGATGGTGGTGGTGATGGTGGTGGTGGTGATGATGGTGATGACGATGATGGTGATGACGATGATGATTGTGATGGCGATGATGGTGATGACGACGATGATTGTGATGGCTATGATGGTGATGACGATGATGATTGTGATGGTGATGATGGTGATGATTGTGATTGTGATGATTGCGATGATGATTGTGATGATTGTGACCATGACTGCGGCGTACCACCGAGTCCATCTGGTTGTAGCGAGCGATGTCTTTGTGCAGCGTGCGCAGCATGATCATGGCCACCATGCCGGAGAGGAACAGCACGATGACCAGCGAGTTCATGATGCTGCACACACAGAGACACAGAGACACACAGAGACACACGTAGAGACACACACACACAGACACACACACAGAGACACACACACAGAGACACACACACAGAGACACACACACAGAGACACACACACACACAGATACACACACACAAACAGAGACACACACACAGAGACACACACACACAGAGACACCCACACACAGACACACACACACAGAGACACACACACACAGATACACACACACAAACAGAGACACACACACACAGAGACACACACACAGAGACACACACACAAAGACAAAGATCCCCCATATAGCCTGTAACAGACTGTAGGGGCAAGTGCTGTTAGCGAGCACCTATGAAGGCCGGAACGGTACACGAGGGGGTGGGTGGCCAGCACCACGTCCGACCGCCTTTGTCTCCCTAGTGGCGATGTTTACACACCGCTACACCAGGTACTCATTTGAGGCTGAGTCGACCTAGGGGAGGCCCGGGACCGGTTCAGATAATCGTCACTGGTGTTGGCCGTGAGCGGGAATCGAACCCGGGTCGCCAGCTTCATAGCGCAGCGTAGCGCTAACCGCTACACTATCGCTCCTCACACACACACTGAGACACACACACAGAGACACACACACACACACAGAGACACACACACACACACAGAGACACACACACACAGACACACACAGAGACACACACAAACAGAGACACACACACAGAGACACACAGAGACAACAACAACCGCCATTCGCCACTAAGTGGCGGTGACGTCACCACGACGCTTGTGCCAGGCTATGTGCACCCTGAGGCCACGTGAAGTGTCGAACGCCCGCTGGCAGGAGGTCACGGGGCAGACCCAGGTGACACGGGTCGACTGACTGAGATGACTGGCTGATGCACCACCTGTGCCCCCTACTGTGCCAACCTGCTGTGCTTTAGCCACCCGGCGCTCCGCTCAGTGTTGTGAGCGTCGTTCCTCCGCCCTCCGTTGTTTTTGGAGGGCGACTACCTCCAACTGCCCAGTAGCATCCTTCACGAGCCTCCTCCACAGAGGTCGATCTTGACACCGCTGGTACCAGTCATCGGCAAGTCCACTCAGCTCCACGTCCTCCTGTACCACATCACTCCATCTCTTCTCTAGCCCGTGCCGCGCCCGCTTAGCCCCCTCAATCCGGCCGAACAAAAGCTGTTTCGGCATGCGTTGGCTGGGCATGCGGGCTACATGACCCAGCCATCGCAGCCTTGCCCGCCGGAGAAGCTCACCGATGGGACCTTGCCCAGATCTTTCAAGGATTTGTGAGCTCCTCACACAATCCAGTCTGGTTAAACCCAGGATGGATCGTAGGCAGGCCAGCCTAAATGTTTCTAACCGGCGAAGATGTTCCATTAGGGGGGTCCACGTTTCGCAAGCGTAGAGAAGGGAGGGAATGACCATGGCCAAGAAGACTGAAGCTTAGTGCGGAGCGACAGACCAGGTAGCTTCCACACAGCGTTACGCAACCGATGAAAAGATATTGCCGCTCGACTGATTCGGAGTGAGACCTCTGCTGTTAAACTGGAGCCAGTCATAAGCACACTACCCAGGTATGGGAAACTCTCCACTCTCTCCACAACTGCCCCATCACCGATTGGGAGTTGTGGGGGTGGAGTGTCCGATGGTACAAAATACCCAGGCAGGTGCTTAGTTTTGGTGGGGCTCATGGTAAGGCCCCACCTCTTAGTGGCACGCTCCAGTCTCAGCAGCAGCGTCTCCAACTCCTCCTCTGACTGAGCAGCTATTACCAAATCATCAGCATACACAACGTGGTTGACCAATAGGGAGCCATCCCTTGACCGCACCCGGGCATCGATCAGCCTCCCATTATATCTGTACCATATGGAGATTCCCCCGGTACAGCTATTGAAGGCTTCACGAACTACGTGGTCAAAATAGATGTTAAATAATGTGGGAGCCAGAGGACATCCCTGTCGCACTCCAAGGTGTACCTGGGAATGGCTCTGACTCCCGGCCACGTAGTTTTACCCGGGCCCGCTCACCATCATGAAGGTCCTTAATGATTGTGAGCAGAGGGTCAGGTACTCCAAAAGCACGAAGAACAACCCAGAGCCCAGGCCTACTGATGGTATCATAGGCCTTGACCAGGTCAATAAAGCAGAGATGTAGGTCTTGTTGGAATTCCCTACACCTCTGCTGTAGCAGACGGACAGAAAATATGGCATCTGTGCAGGACTGCCCTTTCCTGAAACCGCATTGGGGCTCCGCAAGCCTCTCCTCAGCGTGCCTGGCAAGGCGATGCTGAATAATCCTTGCCAGGACCTTTCCCGGCACACTGAGGAGTGAGATGCCCCTGTAGTTGTTACAGTCTGTGCAGTCCCCCTTCTTAAAGAGGGGGACCACCAGGGCATCCTTCCAATCCTGCGGAACCCGTCCAGCGGCCCAGACCGTTGTTATGATGTCATATAGGGCAGTCTGTGCACAAACGCCACCCTCCCTCAGCATTTCGCTTGGGAGATCATCTCTGCCCGCTGCCTTTCCTGGTCTCAGACTCCGGATCGCCTTCAGTACTTCCTCAACAGATGGCACCTCAGCCAGCCACTCACAGGGGGTGACTTCTTCCAATATTTGAGGCACCGCAGCCTCAGCAGGGTCATCCTCACTTTGTGCCACGATGTTTTCCTGGCTGAGGGATTTTCCCTCCCCCAGGACCTCACAGAAATGGTCAGCAAATCTGCAAACCTGTTCCTGGGGGTCGGAGATTGGATCACCGTTTTTTCCCCTAATGATGGTAATAGGTGTGGCGCTGCAGGTTACTTTTTTGATGGAGTTAAATAGAGATTTGTGATCACGGGCCACTGAGGCAGACTCCATCTCCCCAGCAACCCGCGACCACTACCCATCCTTGCAGCGCCTCACGGCTCTCCGAACCTCCGAGCGAAGGCTGCGGTAAGCCTCCTCATTCTCTGACGTGGGATTCTGTAGCCGATGACAGTGGGCCTGTCGCTTTTTCTCAACCATCCTGAACACCTCCTCTGTCAGCCAGGGTCTCTGGGGAGGTCTGGACCGCGTACCCAAAGCAGCCATTGCAGCTGCATGAGTCACAGTCCTAAACCTCGCCCATTTACCCTCGACATCAGGAGGAGTCGGGGACGATGCCAATCCCAGCCGCAAGTGATGATGAAATTCTCGCTTGCAACTTTCATCAGATAACTTGAGACCAGGCCACTTTAGGTCGGAATGGGGTCCTGGGTGTACACCCACCACCGGAGTGGAAGAATGGCAGGCGCATCTTACAGATGACTAGTCGATGGTCAGAGGGCAGATCAGCTCCACGGTAGGTCCTGGTGTCAAGGACATAGGCTCGCATCCGCTGGTCCGTCACTATGTAGTCCAGCAGATGTTCTTGCTTGGACCCGGCATGCATCCATGATGTTGTGTGGATGCGCCGATGCCGGAACAGCGTGTTGGTAATTACAAGCCCATGGGCTGCACAAAAATCTAGCAGCCTCCTACCGTTGTTATTGAGCTGATCTGGCCCATGCCCTCCAATCACTCCAGACCAGGTGCCAGTATCATGACCAACTCGGGCATTAAAGTCACCCAACATGATGACTCTATCCCGAGGGGCCACTTTAGCCAGCACCTGTGACAGGAGGTCATAGAAGGCATCTGACTCATCGGCTTTGCCTGCATCCCTCCACGGATGTTCATCTTCGGTGGGGGCATAAGTAACCACGACCACCATTCCTCGCCTCCGGTTGATGGGAAGGCGAGCCCAAAGTAGCCTGGGGCTTACAGCTTCCCACACCTCACCGCCACGCTCCCACGCCCCCTTCATTCTTTTGTTCAAAAGAAGAGCCACACCCTGTTGTTCGGCAGTCTGCTGCCCCGAGTAGAGGACTGTCCACCCCTCATGGTGGCAGGAGCCAGAGCCAGTCCACCGGACCTCCTGAATGCCGCATAGATCCAGACGGTACCGGTCCAGCTCCCGACAGAGGAGTGGCAGCCTCTCCTCCGCAGTGAGCGTTCGAACATTCCACGTGGCCACCCGTAGTGGCTTTTCGTTGTTTCTGGAGGAGCCCCGAGGGTGGATATTCAATCTCCTGGCTCCGCCAATTGGGGTTTGGCCAGGAGACATCATAGACGCCTGGCCCCCCGGGGCCTCCGGCACAAGCTTATTAGTTACATATTTCAGTTTAACTCGTGGTTTCGTGGTAATTAATTGAAGGTGGAGGGGTTACCAGCCCCTCGCACCCGTCCAGAGCCCCCGTTTAGCCCCTGTGGTGGACACATATGCCATGAGGGGAGGAGCCAATCAAAATTGGATCTCCCTCCACAGCACTGTCCACGACAGAGTTGCCCATCCAGCACCGCGAGGAGGTAAGGGGAGACACACACACACAGAGACACACAGAGACACACAGAGACAACAACAACAACAACCGCCATTCGCCACTAAGTGGCGGTGACGTCACCACGACGCTTGTGCCAGGCTATGTGCACCCTGAGGCCACACAGAGACACACACAGAGACACACACACAGACACACACACTGAGACACACACACAGAGACACACACACACACAGAGACACACACACAGACACAAACAGACACACACAGACACACACAGGGCTGTGTGTGTACCTGAACCACTGTGTGTGTGTGTACCTTAACCACTGTGTGTGTGTGTGTACCTGAACCACTGTATGTTTGTGTGTGGCATGGATTCCAGGATGTAATCCCAGCGTGATGCCCACTTTATATTGTTGGTCTCCTGCGGGCGCACGAGAAAACATAACACTCATCGGCAGGTGACGGTGGTGGTGACGGTGGTGGTGACGGTAGTGGTGGTGGTATTGGTGACGGTGGTGATGGTGGTGGTGGCCATGATGGAGGTGGGTGGTGATGGTGGTGATGATGGTGGTGATAGTGATGGTGGTGATGGTGGTAATGATGATGGTGGTAATGATGATGGTGGTGATGGCAGTGGTGATGGTCGTGATGGTGGTGATGACGATGATGGTGATGGCAATGATGATTGTGATGATGGTGATGATGATGATGATTGTGATGGCGATGATGGTGATGACGACGATGATTGTGATGGCTATGGTGGTGATGACGGTGGTGATGACGGTGGTGATGATGGTGGTAATGAAGGTGGTGATGGTTATGATGGTGATGATTGTGGTAATGATGGTGGTAATGATGGTGGTGATGATGGTGATGGTGGTAATGATGGTGGTGATAGTGATGGTGGTGATGATGGTGGTGATGATGGTGGTGATGATGGTGATGATGGTGGTGATGATGATGGTGGTAATGATGGTGATGATGGTGGTGGTGGTAGTGATGGTGATGATGGTGGTGGTGATGATGGTGGTGGTGGTAGTGATGGTGATGGTAGTGATGATGGTGATGGTGGTGGTGATGATGGTGGTAGTGATGGTGGTGGTGATGGTGGTGGTGGTGATGATGGTGGTGGTAGTGATGGTAGTGATGGTGATGGTAGTGATGATGGTGGTGATGGTGGTGGTGATGATGGTGGTAGTGATGGTGGTGGTGATGGTGGTGGTGATGATGGTGGTAGTGATGGTGGTGGTGATGGTAGTGATGGTGATGATGGTGATGATGGTGGTGGTAGTGATGGTGATGATGGTGGAGGGGTGTACCACAAAGGAGATGGAGTAGGTGTAGAGGATTGTGACTCGCTCTTTGCCGCTCTGCGGGATGGAGAGTGGAGGCCCGGTGCAGGTCGGCTTCTCGTTCACCGCGTGCTTGATGCTGCACCACCACCACAACAACCACAACCACAACAACAACAATAACCACAACAACAACCACGTCAACAACAACAACAACAACCACGTCAACAGCAACAACAACCACGTCAACAGCAACAACAACAACAACCACCGCCACCACAACAACAACCACAACAACAACCACGTCAACAGCAACAACAACCACGTCAACAACAACCACAACAACAACCACAACAACCACGTCAACAACAACCACGTCAACAACAACCACGTCAACAACAACCACAACAACAACCACGTCAACAACAACCACAACAACAACCACGTCAACAACAATCACGTCAACAACAACCACAACAACCACGTCAACAACCACGTCAACCACAACCACATCAACAACAACCACAACAACCACGTCAACGACCACGTCAACAACAACCACGTCAACAACAACCACGTCAACAACAACCACAACAACAACCACGTCAACAACAACCACAACAACGACCACGTCAACAACCACGTCAACAACAACCACATCAACAACAACCACAACAACCACGTCAACAACCACGTCAACCACAACAACCACATCAACAACAACCACAACAACCACAACAACAACCACGTCAACAACAACCACGTCAACCACAACCACAACCACATCAACCACAACCACAACAACAACCACATCAACAACAACCACAACAACCACGTCAACAACAACCACAACAACAACCACATCAACAACAACCACGTCAACAACAACCATGTCAACAACAACCACGTCAACCACAACAACAACCACGTCAACAACCACGTCAACCACAACCACAACAAAAACCACATCAACAACAACCACAACAACAACAACCACGTCAACAACAACCACAACAACCACGTCAACAACCACGTCAACCACAACCACAACAAAAACCACATCAACAACAACCACAACAACAACCACATCAACAACAACCACAACAACCACGTCAACAACAACCACGTCAACAACAACCACGTCAACAACAACCATGTCAACAACCACAACAACAACCACGTCAACAACAACCACGTCAACAACCACAACAACAACAACCACAACAACAACCACGTCAACAACAACCACGTCAACAACAACCACGTCAACAACAACCACGTCAACAACAACCACGTCAACAACCACAACAACAACAACCACAACAACAACCACGTCAACAACAACCACAACAACAACCACAACAACCACGTCAACAACAACCACGTCAACAACAACCACGTCAACAACAACCACATCAACAACAACAACAACAACGTCAACAACAACCACAACACCAACCACGTCAACAACAATCACGTCAACAACAACCACAACAACCACGTCAACAACCACGTCAACCACAACCACATCAACAACAACCACAACAACCACGTCAACGACCACGTCAACAACAACCACGTCAACAACAACCACAACAACAACCACGTCAACAACAACCACAACAACGACCACGTCAACAACCACGTCAACAACAACCACGTCAACAACAACCACATCAACAACAACCACAACAACCACGTCAACAACCACGTCAACCACAACAACAACCACATCAACAACAACCACAACAACCACAACAACAACCACGTCAACAACAACCACGTCAACCACAACCACAACCACGTCAACCACAACAACAACCACATCAACAACAACCACAACAACCACGTCAACAACAACCACAACAACAACCACATCAACAACAACCACGTCAACAACAACCACATCAACAACAACCACGTCAACCACAACCACAACAACAACCACGTCAACAACCACGTCAACCACAACCACAACCACAACAAAAACCACATCAACAACAACAACCACGTCAACAACAACCACGTCAACAACAACCACGTCAACCACAACCACAACCACATCAACAACAACCACAACAACCACGTCAACAACAACCACGTCAACAACAACCACGTCAACAACAACCACGTCAACAACAACCACGTCAACAACCACAACAACAACAACCACGTCAACAACAACCACGTCAACAACCACAACAACAACCACGTCAACAACAACCACGTCAACAACAACCACGTCAACAACAACCACGTCAACAACAACCACGTCAACAACAACCACGTCAACAACCACAACAACAACAACCACAACAACAACCACGTCAACAACAACCACGTCAACAACCACAACAACAACAACCACAACAACAACCACGTCAACAACAACCACGTCAACAACCACAACAACAACCACGTCAACAACAACCACGTCAACAACAACCACAACAACCGCACCACTCACAGCAGCCGTGGTGGTGGTGGCAACAGAAGGGAGACCCCCCCCCTGCCCCCCACCCTGCCCCCAACCCTGCCCCCCACCTTGCCCCCCACCTTGCCCCCCACCACGCCCCCCACTATGCCCCCCACCACGCCCCCCCACTCACCTGCGTGGGACCACCTTGGCAGCCACAAGCCGGGCGCCCTCCCAGCCCTCAGCGGCACCGCTGTGGTAGGAGAGCGTCACATCGACGTGGTTGAAGAGGTAGAAGGAGTCAGGTTCTTTAAACTCCGTCTGTCAGAGGTAGTGACACAGTAGTAGTAGTAGTAACACAGTAGTAGTAGTAACACAGTAGTAGTAGTAACACAGTAGTAGTAGTAGTAACACAGTAGTAGTAGTAGTAACACAGTAGTAGTAGTAACACAGTAGTAGTAGTAACACAGCAGTAGTAGTAGTAACACAGTAGTAGTAGTAACACAGTAGTAGTAACACAGCTGTGGTAGGAGAGCGTCACATCGACGTGGTTGAAGAGGTAGAAGGAGTCAGGTTCTTTAAACTCCGTCTGTCAGAGGTAGTAACACAGTAGTAGTAGTAGTAACACAGTAGTAGTAGTAACACAGTAGTAGTAGTAACACAGTAGTAGTAGTAGTAACACAGTAGTAGTAGTAACACAGTAGTAACACAGTAGTAGTAACACAGTAGTAGTAACACAGTAGTAGTAGTAACACAGTAGTAGTAGTAACACAGTAGTAGTAACACAGTAGTAGTAACACAGTAGTAGTAGTAACACAGTAGTAGTAGTAACACAGTTGTAGTAGTAACACAGTAGTAGTAACACAGTAGTAGTAACACAGTAGTAGTAGTAACACAGTAGTAGTAGTAGTAACACAGTAGTAGTAGTAACACAGTAGTAGTAGTAACACAGTAGTAGTAGTAACACAGTAGTAGTAGTAACACAGTAGTAGTAGTAGTAACACAGTAGTAGTAGTAACACAGTAGTAGTAGTAGTAACACAGTAGTAGTAACAGAGTAGTAGTAACACAGTAGTAGTAGTAACACAGTAGTAGTAGTAACACAGGGTAGTAGTAGTAACACAGTAGTAGTAGTAACACAGTAGTAGTAGTAACACAGTAGTAGTAGTAACACAGTAGTAGTAGTAGTAGTAACACAGTAGTAGTAGTAACACATTAGTAGTAACAGAGTAGTAGTAACACAGTAGTAGTAACACAGTAGTAGTAGTAACACAGGGTAGTAGTAGTAACACAGGGTAGTAGTGGTAGTTGATAGTTAGTAGTTGTAGTAGTGGTAGTAGTGGAAGTTAGTAGTGGCAGTAGTAGTAGTTGTAGCAGTTGTAGTGGTATTTGTAGTGGTAGTTAGTAGTAGTGGTAGTTGTAGTAGTTATAGTAGTTGGTAGTGGTAGTTGTAGTAGTTAGTAGTAGTTAGTAATGGTAGTTAGTAGTAGTAGTGGTAGTTAGTAGTGGTGTAATCCTCACGCTGATGATGCAAGCATCCTTGTGATTGCTAGAGTAGTAGTTACAGTAGTTGTAGTGGTAGTAGTTATAGTAGTTAGTAGTAGTTAGTAGTGGTAGTTAGTAGTTATAATAGTAGTGTTAGTAGTTGTGTAATCCTCACGCTGATGATGCAAGCGTCCTTGTGATTGCTAGAGTAGTTACAGTAGTTATAGTGGTAGTTGTAGTAGTAGTGGTAGTTAGTAGTTATAATAGTAGTGTTAGTAATGTTATCCTCACGCTGATGATGCAAGTGTCCCTGTGATTGCTAGAGTAGTAGTTACAGTAGTAGTAGTGGTAGTTGCAGTGGTAGTAGTGGTAGTTGTAGTAGTTAGTAGTAGTAGTTAGTAGTAGTAGTTAGTAGTGGTAGTTAGTAGTTGTAGTAGTTAGTAGTGGTGTAATCCTCACGCTGATGATGCAGGCGTCCTTGTGATTGCTAGAGTAATAGTTACAGTAGTGGTAGTTGTAGTAGTAGTTGGTAGTGGTAGTTGTAGTAGTTATAGTAGTTGGTAGTGGTAGTGGTAGTTAGAGTAGTAGTTAGTAGTTATAGTAGTTGGTAGTGGTAGTTGTAGTAGTAGTTAGTAGTGGTAGTTAGTAGTGGTAGTTAGTAGTGGTAGTTAGTAGTTGTGTAATCCTCACGCTGATGATGCAGGCGTCCTTGTGAATGCTAGAGTAATAGTTACAGTAGTTGTAGTGGTAGTTGTAGTGGTAGTTATAGTAGTAGTTAGTAGTTGTAGTAGTGGTAGTTAGTAGTTGTGTAATCCTCACGCTGATGATGCAGGCGTCCTTGTGATTGCTAGAGTAGTTACAGTAGTTATAGTGGTAGTTGTAGTAGTAGTGGTAGTTAGTAGTGGTAGTTAGTAGTGGTAGTTAGTAGTTGTGTAATCCTCACGCTGATGATGCAGGCGTCCTTGTGATTGCTAGAGTATTAGTTAGTAGTTGTAGTGGTAGTTGTAGTAGTTAGTAGTAGTTAGTAGTGGTAGTTAGTAGTGGTAGTTAGTAGTTGTGTAATCCTCACGCTGATGATGCAGGCGTCCTTGGGCTGCCCGCTGGCGGTGACGTAGCAGCCCACGGGGAATCCGGGGTTACAGAAGAGCTTCCCCTCGTCAACGTGGTAGCACCACGTCACCGGCATGTTGTCCACGATCCTACAGGCGGCGCACACACACACACACACCATGTACAGGCGGCGCACACACACACACCACGTACAGTCTCACACACACACCACGTACAGTCTCACACACACACCACGTACAGGCGGCACACACGCCACGTACAGGCGGCGCACACACACACACGCCACGTACAGGCGGCGCACACACACACACGCCACGTACAGGCGGCGCACACACACACACACACCACGTACAGGTGGCGCGAACACACACACACCACGTACAGGCGGCGCGCACACACACACGCCACGTACAGGCGGCGCACACACACACACACGCCACGTACAGGTGGCGCGAACACACACACACCACGTACAGGCGGCGCGAACACACACACACGCCACGTACAGTCTCTCACACACACACACACCACGTACAGGCGGCGCACACACACACGCCACGTACAGGCGGGACACACACACCACGTACAGGCGGCGCACACACAAACACCACGTACAGGCGGCACGCATACACACGCCACGTACAGTCTCTCACACACACACACCCCCGTACAGTCTCTCACACACACACACACCACGTAGACGTCTCTCACACACACACACCATGTAGACGTCTCTCACACACACTATGTAGACGTCTCTCACACACACACCATGTAGACGTCTCTCACACACACACCATGTAGACGTCTCTCACACACACACACACCATGTAGACGTCTCACACACACACCATGTAGACGTCTCTCTCACACACACACCACGTAGACGTCTCTCACATACACACCATGTAGACGTCTCTCACACACACACCATGTAGACGTCTCTCACACACACACACACACCATGTAGACGTCTCTCTCACACACACACACACACACCATGTAGACGTCTCTCACACACACACACCACGTAGACGTCTCTCACATACACACCACGTAGACGTCTCTCATACACACACACCATGTAGACGTCTCTCTCACACACACACCATGTAGACGTCTCTCACACACACACACACACACCATGTAGACGTCTCTCACACACACACCATGTAGACATCTCTCACACATACACACCATGTAGACGTCTCTCACACACACACCATGTAGACGTCTCTCACACACACACCACGTAGACGTCTCTCACACACACACACCATGTAGACGTCTCTCACACACACACCATGTAGACGTCTCTCACACACACACCATGTAGACGTCTCTCACACACACACACCATGTAGACGTCTCACACACACACGTAAACGTCTCACACACACACACACACACCATGTAGACGTCTCTCACACACACACCACGTAGACGTCTCACACACACACACACCATGTAGACGTCTCTCACACACACACCATGTAGACGTCTCTCACACACACACCATGTAGACGTCTCTCACACACACAATGTAGACGTCTCACACACACACACACCGTGTAGACGTCTCTCACACACACACCATGTAGACGTCTCTCACACACACACCATGTAGACGTCTCTCACACACACAATGTAGACGTCTCACACACACACGTAAACGTCTCACACACACACACCATGTAGACATCTCTCACACATACACACACCATGTAGACGTCTCTCACACACACACACCATGTAGACGTCTCTCACACACACACTATGTAGACGTCTCTCACACACACACCACGTAGACGTCTCTCACACACACACACACCATGTAGACGTCTCTCACACACACACCATGTAGACGTCTCTCACACACACACACACACCATGTAGACGTCTCTCACACACACACACACCATGTAGACGTCTCTCACACACACACACCATGTAGACGTCTCTCACACACACACCATGTAGACGTCTCTCACACACACACACCATGTAGACGTCTCTCTCACACACACACCACGTAGACGTCTCTCATACACACACCACGTAGACGTCTCACACACACACACCACGTAGACGTCTCACACACACACACCACGTAGACGTCTCACACACACACACCATGTAGACGTCTCTCACACACACACACCACGTAGACGTCTCTCACACACACACCACGTAGACGTCTCTCACACACACACACCATGTAGACGTCTCTCACACACACACACCACGTAGACGTCTCTCACACACACACACCATGTAGACGTCTCTCACACACACACACCATGTACAGGCGACACCCACACACGTGCAGGCATCAGACACTCACACAAGAATTTCATACACACTCACACCACGCCAACGGCATGTTGGTGCACGATCTTACAGGCAGCACGCACATACATGCGACACCACATCACGGGCATTCTACTATGCTGCTGATGATGCTGATGATGCTGATGATGTTGATGGCAGTGCTGCTGCTGATGGTGATGATGCTGATGGCAGTGCTGCTGATGGTGATGATGATGATGACGCTGGTGATGATGCTGATGGTAGTGGTGGTGGTGATGATGGTAGTGGTGGTGGTGATGATGGTAGTGGTGGTGATGATGGTAGTGGTGGTGATGATGGTAGTGGTGGTGGTGATGGTAGTGGTGGTGGTGATGGTAGTGGTGGTGATGGTAGTGGTGGTGATGGTAGTGGTGGTAATGGTGATGATGGTAGTGGTGGTGATGGTGGTGGTGATGCTGGTAGTGGTGGTGATGGTAGACCAGTGGTGATGATGGTAGTGGTGGTGATGATGGTGGTGATGATGGTGGTGATGGTAGTGGTGGTGGTGGTGATGATGGTAGTGGTGGTGGTGGTGATGATGGTAGTGGTGGTGATGATGGTAGTGGTGGTGATGATGGTAGTGGTGGTGGTGATGGTAGTGGTGGTGGTGATGGTAGTGGTGGTGATGGTAGTGGTGGTAATGGTGATGATGGTAGTGGTGGTTATGGTGGTGGTGATGCTGGTAGTGGTGGTGATGGTAGACCAGTGGTGATGATGGTAGTGGTGGTGATGATGGTGGTGATGATGGTGGTGATGGTAGTGGTGGTGGTGGTGATGATGGTAGTGGTGGTGGTGGTGATGATGGTAGTGGTGGTGGTGGTGATGATGGTATTGGTGGTGATGGTAGTGGTGGTGATGGTAGTGGTGGTGATGGTAGTGGTGGTGATGGTAGTGGTGGTGATGGTAGTGGTGGTGATGGTAGTGGTGGTGATGGTAGTGGTGGTGATGGTAGTGGTGGTGATGGTAGTGGTGGTGATGGTAGTGGTGGTGATGGTAGTGGTGATGATGGTAGTGGTGATGATGGTAGTGGTGGTGATGGTAGACCAGTGGTGATGATGGTAGTGGTGGTGGTGATGATGGTAGTGGTGGTGGTGATGATGGTAGTGGTGGTGATGATGGTAGTGGTGGTGATGGTAGTAGTGGTGGTGATGGTAGTAGTGGTGGTGATGGTAGTGGTGGTGATGGTAGTGGTGATGATGGTAGTGGTGGTGATGGTAGACCAGTGGTGATGATGGTAGGGGTGGTGATGATGATGACGGTGGTGATGATGGTGGTGATGAGAGACCAGTGGTGGTGGTAGTTGAAGTGCATGGTGATGATGGTAGTGGTGGTGATGATGACGATGGTGATGATGATGGCGATGATGACGATGGTGATGATGGCGATGATGATGGTGATGATGATGATGATGGCGGTGATGATGATGATGATGGAGAGACAAGTGGTGCTGGTAGTTGAAGTGCATGGTGATGATGGTAGTGGTGGTGATGATGACGATGGTGATGATGATGGTGATGATGATGGTAGTAGTGGTGGTGATGAGAGACCAGTGGTGATGATGGTAGTGGTGGTGATGATGACGATGGTGATGATAGTGGTGATGATAGTGGTGGTGATGATGGTGATGATGATGATGATGGTGGTGATGATGGTGATGATGAGAGACCAGTGGTGCTGGTCGTTGAAGTGCATGGTGATGATGATGGTGATGATGATGATGATGGTGATGATGATGATGGTGATGATGGAGAGACCAGTGGTGCTGGTAGTTGAAGTGCATGGTGATGGTGGTGGTAGTGATGGTGATGATGATGGTGGTGGTGATGATGATGGTGGTGGTAATGATGGTGGTGGAAGTGATGGTGATGATGATGATGATGGTGGTGATGGTGGTGATGATGATGGTGGTGATGATGATGGTGATGATGATGGTGATGATGATGGTGATGATGGTGATGATGATGGTGATGATGATGGTGATGATGATGGTGATGATGATGGTGATGATGGAGAGACCAGTGGTGCTGGTAGTTGAAGTGCATGGTGATGATGGTAGTGGTGATGATGATGGTGATGTGATGATGGTGATGATGGAGAGACCAGTGGTGCTGGTAGTTGAAGTGCATGGTGATGGTGGTAGTGGTGGTAATGATGATGGTGGTGATGATGATGATGGTAGTAGTGGTGATGATGGAGAGACCAGTGGTGCTGGTAGTTGAAGTGCATGGTGATGATGACGGTGATGATGATGACGATGATGATGGTGGTGATGATGAGAGACCAGTGGTGCTGGTAGTTGAAGTGCATGGTGATGATGATAGTGGTGGTGATGATGGTGATGATGGTGGTGATGAGAGACCAGTGGTGCTGGTAGTTGAAGTGCATGGTGATGATGATGATGGTGATGATGATGGTGATGTGATGATGGTGATGATGGAGAGACCAGTGGTGCTGGTAGTTGAAGTGCATGGTGATGATGACGGTGATGATGATGACGATGATGATGGTGGTGATGATGAGAGACCAGTGGTGCTGGTAGTTGAAGTGCATGGTGATGATGATAGTGGTGGTGATGATGGTGATGATGGTGGTGATGAGAGACCAGTGGTGCTGGTAGTTGAAGTGCATGGTGATGATGATGATGGTGATGATGATGGTGATGTGATGATGGTGATGATGGAGAGACCAGTGGTGCTGGTAGTTGAAGTGCATGGTGATGATGATGGTGATGATGGTGATGTGATGATGGTGATGATGGAGAGACCAGTGGTGCTGGTAGTTGAAGTGCATGGTGATGATGGTAGTGGTGGTGATGATGATGATGGTGATGATGATGGTGATGTGATGATGGTGATGATGAGAGACCAGTGGTGCTGGTAGTTGAAGTGCATGGTGATGATGATGGTGATGATGATGGTGATGTGATGATGGTGATGATGAGAGACCAGTGGTGCTGGTAGTTGAAGTGCATGGTGATGATGATGGTGGTGATGATGATGGTGATGATGGTGGTGGTGATGAGAGACCATTGGTGCTGGTAGTTGAAGTGCATGGTGATGATGATAGTGGTGGTGATGATGATGATGGTGGTGATGAGAGACCAGTGGTGCTGGTAGTTGAAGTGCATGGTGATGATGATAGTGGTGGTGATGATGGTGGTGATGAGAGACCAGTGGTGCTGGTAGTTGAAGTGCATGGTGATGATGATAGTGGTGATGATGATGGT